GCTCATATTAGGTAAACGACACTCGAACGTCCCTCATTTTTTTCAAATTTAACGATTTTTAAGACGTTCAATTTATTTGTCATTTAATAAATATTTGTTTAAAATATAAACATTATATATTATACAATAGTCAATAATATTGTCTTATTATGATTCCTATTATAAAAAATTAAATGAACGACCTAGTGAACGATTCATTTTTCTAGTGAACGTTCCGAACACTGGATCATTGGCTGTCAGTTGTCAGATAAAGTTAACTTATTCTGAACTTGAATACTTGAAGTTTGAACACAAAACATATTTCAATATTTACAGAAAATATCCTTAAATATATCGCAGGTAACTAATATAAATATGTTATATTATATATTTTGCCTTAACAATATTATAAATTAATAACACAATTTTATTCACACATTACAAACATTAATTACCTGTATTAGCAATATTATTGTTTAAATCATTTGAATATGATGTATTTTTTCGATCAACACTTTTATAGTGCCTATTATTGCATTTATTTATTAATTTACATGATCACCAAACATTGTAATGGATAATATTTCTATGGGTATATTATAAAAAATAATTTTTTTTTGTAACCATATAATTATAACCATTAGGAAGATTCCCGATTGACCTATCCGCCTCTGTTTACTAATTACAACAGTACCTTGATATTTCAATAATTCAACATTCAAAAATTGTTTTATATTGGATAAAATAAATAAGTAAGGAATATAAAAAAAAAATGTATATACAGAATACAAATCACTGATTTTATTGAACCTTTAAAAAAAAGAACCACAAAAATATTTTATTTATAAATCTCATTACACCTCTTCAATCCTTAACAATTAAAAACAATTGTTGCGTATAAATTATATTTAAAAAAAATTACATAATATAACAATTCAATAATTGTACAAAAATAAATTAAATTAAAATTCATAAAATGTAAATGTTTACAATATAGATTACTTGAGATGACTTGTTAATGATAAATATTGTTTATATTTTGTATTAAATCATTTATCATTAAAATGTATGCATGTCAACAATTTCTACAAAACTGTTTTAATATATTCTTAACATAAGGATATATTATATTTTTGAGATATTTTATACATGTGAGTAATTTTAAACAGAGTATTAAAAATATATTATTTGGTCTTTCTAATAATTGATAAAAACTATTCAATAACATTAAATTTAAATAGTAAATTATACACAACATTGATGTTTATTTATCTTAAAAATTTAAACACCACCTGAATATTTTTCAATGTTGATTTTTAGAAAAAAAATACAGAATTAACAATATCATAAAAAGTGGACTGTCAATAATTAAGAATACTATAATTTAGTATACAATAAATGTTTTTTTTTTCATGTGATACACAAATAGTAGTCTTTTATAAAAATACAAATTAAAGTAAATTGCATATTATATTATAGATAAAATACTAAATGTAATATACTTAATAATATGTGCACTGTACTAACTATTAACGACAAGAGTTAAACTATTTTAGAGTATATATTGTATACATTTTAGAATTGTAAGATTTAATAGATTTTGGCACCAAATTTTCAGTAAATCAGTTACCAAAAATAAATTATTAACAATGTAACAAGTTAGAAAAATTGTCATAAAAATATATAGTAAATTACTTTTTATTTGCCCTTGTGTAATTTTAATGATATTCATTTTAGTGGAATAAAGCCGATATTGGGATAAAAAAAAAATCTTCAAGAAGCTTCATAAGTGACAACTGTCTACCAACCTAACCACTGGTGCAAACACATTTGTTTATTAAATTAAGCTGATGTAAAAATTAGTCGCATAGAGTACAGTGCATTGTTTACCCTGTATATTTTCACATAATATATTTAAAAACATTGAGCTGTAAAATACTAACATATTTATATCACTTAGTTACATGAGCAAAGAAGTAATACAATTAAATACTGAAGGCACTTAACAAAAAATTGTTATTTTTTTTTTGTTTTAACAAAATATACATCTTAATCTAGGACTAGAATTTGAGAGTAATAATGAATAAGATTTCGAAAAATGCGAAACATTAATATTTGGCTATATATAAATATTAAAACCATATAAAGGCATCTAATTCATAGGCTTGTTATATAGAGGATGTGGCACTCACATATTGTCCGTCTTACAAGTGCGTAGCACAGCCAATTTTACACACAGCAAATCACCCTTAGCTCAATTAGCTTAAAAATGAGTGAGTCCTGAGCATTTTAAGATTTAGAAAAAAATTATAATTTTAAAATACTTAGAACTCACTTTAAAATTAAAATATAATAAAAAGCCTATTAGACGCCCCATAATAATCTTACCTTTAAATTGTATAAGAGGTCAATTCACTCTTATTTTTAAGATCATGGAGTTAAACATGATCTGCCAAGCGTAAAATATGCTGTTACGACTTATAAGACTTGGGGGTGTCACATTCTTTTAACTAGGGTGACCATTTTTTAGAAAAGTGACAAACTAAATATATTTTCATACACGCTACGTTTTAACTCATTTTAGGATCTTTTATTTTTATTGGGAGACAAACAATTTAAATACAAATTTTAATTTAAACATGATTCGTTACATATTGCCGTAATAGAAGTAGCATCAGATTGTGGATAGCTATAATTGCCATAAGTTGGAACCTTATTTATGTAAATAATATGTAGGGTAAATGTAGGTTATTTATGAAGTATTTAAATGCTTGCCTGAGGCACAAGTAATGTTTGAACTGACTAATCTAAAAAAAAACGATCTAAACATTATAGTTACTCTTAACAATTGAAAACCTATTTTTTATATTTTTTAATTAATGATTAGTTACTTCAATACAATCTTTGGGAGGAGCAATCTCACTTCCTCCCTTCTCCCCAAATTATGCGCCTCAAAACCACACGGTACAAAATTACTTAAAAGAAATTTATCCTAACATAAGTATAAACAACCAGTTAATCACATTTCAACAAAATGGTCAACCATATGCCTAAAAGATATAATCACAAATAAATTTGCATTTTACATTTAAGATAATATTGTCATGGATACGTGATATCATTAATCATACAAGCAAATGGGGGGAAAACAATCATACTTTACTACATTGAAATCTTGTTAGTTCAAAGGTAAAAAAAAATCTTTAGAAACTCTATGTTAAGTGTATTCACTATACAGAAAGTAGAAAAGATTAAATCAAATACCTTTCATAAGGAATTATGTTGAGATAAAAATCTTAAAATATTTGCAATCCTCTATGTTAGACCTATCATAATCTAAAGATTTTAATTATATAGGTTTCAATTTTTTAGTTTGGAGTTCTCAAGTAATCACTGTTTTAAGTTTTTCCCTTTTCTTTTTCTTTTTCGACTTCCATTTTCTCTTCGCCTTTATTATTATTAGTACACTCGTCTTTATCTTTACCTTTATCATTGGTTTTATCTTCTAACTGTTCAGATTTTTCTTCATTTTTATTGGCAGGTAATTTCAGTATGTCCGGTGCTTGAGCTATAGCTACAGAAGCCTTCTTAGCCTGACATTGTCTGTGATGAGTATATAAGGGGTTGAAAAGTACACTAACCGACGGTGGCAAAGAATTGTGATATGCTGATGATGGCGGACATAATTCAGACATGGCTTTTAGAAAATCATTTGTATCTCCTGCATCTCCATTTGAATTGTTTGGAAATGTTCCATACATGAATGGATTCAATGGGTTGGTAAATGGGTTATGGTTTGTTGGTCGGACCGGTAGTAGAGCCAAAGAATGGGCTAATGTATTTTTTTTAGGAACAGGTTTTTTGGGCTTCTTAGCTGGAGAAGCAGGCATAATTGGACATAATGTTTGAGGATTAATTTTCATTAGAGGCACTTCAGCTAACCTTTTCAAACTGTCTTCAGCTTTATCTTCATCTTTTTTATCATCTCTTGATTTGAAAAATTTTTGACACTTTTTATCAATTCCATTTATTTCTTTTTTTTTTGCTAAAACTGAAGTTTTTGATATACTTGGATTCCAGTGTTTTGTTGGAGATGTTAATGTTTTATATTTAGTTCCTTGCTTTTTAATTTTTTCAACAATAGTGTCTAATTTTGGTTTGGTTTTTTTTATTTTCGACCCAGGATATACTTTTAAAGCTTTTTTCTTATCGTCATCTTTGCTGTCATTTATATCCCCAGGTTTAGATGGATTTTCGTTTTTAACTAAATCAGTTGGCTCTATGGTCACATTAGCTTGTATTGTCTCTCTACTCTGGTTAATATTTGTAACTTTCATGATACCATTTTCACTTATTTCCAATTGTACTTCTTTGGAATCTGGAATTTTCTCAACAACCATCGGGTTGTCATCTACTTTTGGGTTACCTTCATTACGTATCTCTGTGTTGACTACATTTTGATGCAAATCATTTTGGTTTTCTTCAGACTTTTCATCATCTTTTTTAGATTCAATTATACTTTCTTCTTTTGCTACGTCGTCGTTTAAAAGAGGTTCAATTTCAATTTTAAGGATTCGATAAGTCATTGAAAGTGGATCTTTCTAAAATTAAAATATAATATATAATTATATAATGCAAATAAATATCTATTCAATATTTAAGTTAAATAAGTTACCCTTTTCCAATCAAACATATAAACAACATCCATTAAAGTCAAGTGATCGTCTAGTAAATAATTTTGGTAGAAAAACTCTACATAATGATCCGTTGGAATTAATTCATATTTGATGTATACTAATTTTTTTAAATTTATAACTGTCAGCGATGCTGGGCACCACAGATATCGCTTATGTTTTTCTTGTATATTCTGTGCAATAATAAAAACTTAAAATTAATTTCAATAATACATTGAAGACTAATTTGAATATATTTATACTTATTTGTCAATTTTTTCACATTCATAATAAAGACATATGCTGATTGCATCGCTAGCAGCAAATATGTGATAGTCATCAGGTACAACACCACGGCTCATCGGGTCCCTGGGTAAATACACTTTGTTTCGATTGTAAAAGTCTCTTCTCATTACCATTTCCTCTATAAAAATAATAATACAATTTTAAATTAGTTTAAGGTAAATGTTTTAAATAGTAAAATTTTGTTACTCACTTTGAAATAAACGCGGAACCAGTTTGTAAACAATATTTTGCAGTGTGTGATCTGGCCGGATATTGGATAAAGGTTTTGATTTGTGGACCAATACATCGCATATTGGACAATATTTGTTGCGTTCGAGATACTTGACAATACAACTTCGACAAACTAAAAACACATATCATAAATTTAACATTTACAAAATTAAAACCACTTATTACAGATTTGAATAAAAATGTGCACATAATAAGAAAAAAATATTTTAAATCTTTTAAACAAAAAACAACAACCACAATAAATTAATCTCTGTATTAATGAATATTCAACAGGTATAAGTAAAAGCTTTGTAGTACCTATATTCATAAAATGTTGAACCAATCAAGTGGTAATGTAATAATGTTGGGACATATAATTGTATTTCTATTGATTTATTAAAAAGATAAGAGGCACTGAACATTTTTATAGGCCATAAATATTGTGGAATTCTAATTTGAATATCAAAGGACACTCAATGTGATCCTAACATATCTTTTAATTGGGTAAATGTTTATAATAACTAATGAGGTACATAAAAGCAAAACAAATGTGCATCGCTGACACAATATAATTTCAAATATTTGGCAATATTTGGAAATTTAAATTACTTACAGGAGTGCAGACATTCGATCACCGTCGTTGCATCCACGAAGTATCCACCGCACAGAACGCATAGTAGATGTGGATTTAGGTCGGTGACCTTCGGCTTACAGGATTGCATATTGTCGTCACCGTGATCATCATATCGCCGTCACCGTGACGCGTTCGCGCCAATCTGGACAACAGAAACACAGGTTAGACGTGGTAATTGCGTTTGCACCACTACAGAACTTACCCAGGATCGTCGACGCCATCGTGATCAAATTATTTAAAAGTTCTTTATTAATATTTTGTGGGTCAATGGCGGGACTCTGATAAGTGGCGGGTTTTTCAGACAACTAGTCAACGAGACTCTCGGGCTTCCAGGCAATTTGTTTTCAAATCAATCAGGTCCACGAACCAAAACTGCGGCAGATTCGAACTGTACGTTGAAACAAAAACAGAAAATCGGAAGCAAAAGCTCTATCCGCATCCCAGACGCGGATAAACACTGCGGTCTGAGAAACGAAAACAACAAAAACAAGTTGTCCGTTGACAAGGCGTTAACAGCAATGACCTGGCGCGTTTGTTCCATGAAAAATTTTTCTCTTCTCGAGTGGAACAAAACGGTAAAATATTGAAATTTCTATTTCTATGACGCGAAAAGGATCACTTCTCTCGGATTATCGGGTCGACCACGATTAAAGATATACTATATCTTTAACCGTGGGGTCGACGATCGTAAGATCCTTTGATTTATTATGTACCTACGGCTACATGTTTTCGTCCAATTCATGGCTAAATATTTAGTATTTAGCCATGGTCGAATTCATTTGGCTCGAAGTCACATCTTTTACCTCCTGCGTGCCCCGACATTTTTTCTCTCATGATTCGGACTGGATTACTGGAACGTTTGAGCCGTTTGAGGTTAGTTTTTAGAATGAGAGAAATAAAGAACGGCTGCTATAGTGCTATGGAGTATGGACACTTGACATTATTACATTAATACATTATGATTTTTTTGTTAAATGGACAATGGTGCGATGCACTTAATGCATTATGCCCGTTGACATCACGAAAAATTAATAATTGACAATTGTTTATCTAAAAAATATAGTGACAATGTCCGTAATGATAAACTAAGGATTATGACTTAGGAGTAAATATATAATTGTAAATATAATGGTATGTTCTAAAATCGGATGTAATGTAGTTTATTCGTCACAGCCATACGTATTATTACTTTGTTGAATTATGACGTGAACATGCCTTACTTATATCTTGTATTTTGCGACGGATAAGTGACAAAACTAACAAACTGACAGTGTAACGTAAGAGGTAGAACAAGCACAGAACCAAGTTGAAAACACACTGATTACCAGTACATTTAGCCACGAATAAGATACTATGTACTTTATGTCTACTTATAATGCTATAAAGTTATAATTTGTAGTGAAAGTGTACAACCCCACATAAATATAACATATTGATACGACTGCGCGTCCCTCATGTCAGCTACAGGTTGCCAAGAGCTCCTAGGCTACGACGTAGCGTTGTTCTAAACTGTATAGAAAGAAATATTAAATACCTACCGACTACCAGGGTACTTTTATGGTACCTATGCTATCTTTTTATTAAAATTTTATTATTTTTGTTGAATTATTTTAAATATCTTTTGCTATTATTTGGTACAGCCAATGCAGGGTCGGCCCAATCGGTAGCAAAATATTTTGAAACATTTTGTCGTGTAGCCATTGTAAACTCGACCCAATTGATCGGTTTTTTTCAGATAGAAATGATTGACATGTGAAGTAGAGTCGAATAGAAATAATATGCTCAGATCTTCTCATATTTAATTAATCTTCCAATATTTTTAAGGTACGTTTGTCATTTATCATTACCTAGAGTCCACGACGAGGAGGCGATTCTCATTATCCTTTAAGGATTATGTCCTGTTATTTTAATTTTAATTTTATTCATAACTATGCAAATTCTTAACAGCAAAATTAAATTATATAAATGTATATATGTTTTGTCGTCATTTATTTTACTTATTTATTATTTTCTGATGAAATTATGTTGTGCTTTCTAACTTACTGTATTTTGTCTGTGAAATGGTCGGGCTGAGTTTAGTAAAAAAATTAAATCGTGGACCCAATTTATATTTGCCCCGAAATAGGTAGCCGCCTATGGCAAAACTGATGGAACTAAGCAGAATAAATAAAATATTTGCCATAAATCATGATGTAATTTGTATTAAAATGAATTACTAATTGTAATTTTGAACCGCTCACGTACTTATGTCTTAAAAATTCAATAAAAGTCAAAAATAAATGTTCTTTTACCAAAATATTCACACATAGTTCTTGTATCAAGTATCTTGACCATTTGTGTCTGTAGTTAGTAATTACTACCTACTATGTTAATATGTTATTAAAATGTCACGATTAAAAAAATGTAGTACTTTTAGTCCAAATTTAATTTTTACATTCGAGCTTATTTCTTTTGAAAAACAATTTAGAATTTCAAAAAATGACTTGTGTGGCTGCTAAAATTGTATCTATAAAGCTGATTCAATTTTTGATCTAAAGAGAGGTATTGTTGTATTGATGAATATGGACCTTTACGTACAAATACCTGAAAAAGAATACACGGTAAAAAAGAAAGAAGAAGCAATACGATCCTATCAATCTGAAATAATAATTTTCGGGTGGTGAACTCCCCACGGTGAGACCGGCTAGTCTGTTTGAAAAGTTACGGCCGCACTTAGGCCATTTGGACCTAACTGAGTGTAGACACTAGACAGCTGTGGCTGTAGCATATAAAGAAGTAAAAATATAAAACAATGTAAACTACCGATATATTTAGATTTTAGATATTAAAATACTTATGACTAAAATGTCTACGGCTAAGCCGTGATTGCAATAATGCTGTTGCTACTCATGAATACTATTACTAGTTAGTAGTTACATAGATTAAATATACTAGTATATTTAATCTATGGTAGTTACTACTAGTTCCTAATTTGTGTTTCAAATAATCTAATTCATGCCCAAGATCAAGTTCAAGTGTCGAATATGAAGCGATATAAAAACTCAAGGGAAGTGGGTTGTGCATAATTAGATTTAAAGCCGTAACTCGTAATTGACTAGTTGAATTTTGATTTTATATTTTTAACTCAATAGTGTGTGGGTAAATAAAATATAAATGTAATGATGAACTACAGGTGCAAGACGTGCAACTTAACCTTAGAGCACGAGATCGGTAGTTCGAATGTTCTGTTATTAATAAATATTAAATAATAATAATTGTTCGTGCCAATGTTTTTCTATATTAAAAGGTATTTGTGCCTGCAGAGCTAATTTGTCCTTTATTCAACTTCACTACACATTACACATCTAAGACCGAGTGTGTTACTAGTAGTTTATTACTTATTGATATTAAACGCACACCATAAATTAATTTTCTAACTTTTTTTTATTTAAAAAAATAATAACAACTAAGTCCGTTAACAGTATAGATTTTGAAATATTTGTTTTGTAAAAAATAAAAATAGTAAATAGGTACTAATATCAATATTATCGTACAAAAATAAAAATAAATGTGGCCTAGATAAAAATATGGTATACCTGAAGAGATAAGCCCAAAAGCCAACAATCAAATTGATATTTTTCAATGTTTTATCTTGTTTTAAATCTGTAGGTATATCACCATCCACTGTCTGTGGTATTTAACTTTCTCATTTATTTATTTTTTAAATGTATTAATAATTGTATTTTTAGAACCAATATGCTGTGTTCATCAGCACGTTTGCGTCAAAACTTTTATTTAATAATCGGTGTCACAATTGGGCTACTTTTTAGTCTTATTGTCGGCCCATTATTAGAAACTGGTTGCTTATTCTCAATATCAACTATTGACAGTGATTCAAGCTCAATTATTTTCAATGATGAATACGAACCTCATATAAATTTGGCCGGCAAACCACAGCGAGCGCAAAAAATTCCACAAACTTTGTTACGTCCAAGATATTACTCAACAGAGCTTGGAATTCGAGAGAAACTGTTTGTTGGAATTTTGGCCAATCAAGCATCTGTAGATGGTCTGGCGGTTGCTGTCAACAAGACTGTTACACATTGGGTGGACAAGACAATTTTTTTTGTTGACGCGGCAGGTGGACATAAGCTAAATGTAACGCTAATGAAAGTACCCGGTATAGTTGGTTTCACTGACAGTAGAAATGTATTGAAACCGTTTCATATGGTAAAATATATTGCTGACAACTATTTGGACGAATATGAGTTTTTCATGTTGATAAAGGATAGTACATACTTAAATGCAGACAAGCTCATGAACTTGGTTAAAAGAGTTAGTGTCAGTGAAGATGTGTATGCTAGTGGAACTGTAATTGGTACCAATTATTGTTCATTAGGTAAGAAATTAGCTACATAAAATGTATTTAACAAATTATAAATTATAATTTTATATTAAATGAAAAATTTTCAGATGCCGGAATACTCTTAAGCAACTCAGTTATCCGTAAAATGATTCCAAATGTTGATTGGTGTGTACGTAATGCTTTCTCTTCTTCAGATGATGATAATTTTGGTCGATGTGTATTACATTCAGTTAATCTTCCATGTCAGACATCTATTCAAGTGAGTAATATTAAGATTCTTCATTTCAAAATACACAGTTTAAACTTTAATTTGTTTGTTTAGGGGCAATCTATTAGCAGTTATCATCTGTGGGAAGCCAAAGATCTTATTAACTTACTCAACCAACCACAACAACAAGAAAGTTTTAATCGTGCTTTGACTGTTTATCCAATGCCAAATGCTGAAACAATGTATAAAACTCATTTAGCATTTTGTAAAATGAATTTAGAAAAATCCAACATGGAAATTGAAGCATTAAGACGTTCTATTGTGGCTGAGTCAAGTTTAGAGCCACCGAGTTTTAGAAAGGTAACTTGGCCTGTTGGTAGTCAGTCTGGAAGTACACCATCCACTCGTTTTGATGTATTAAAATGGGAACATTTCACTGAAACACATTTATATTTGGACTCAAGAATAAGCAATATAAGACCATTAAATGAAGCTGAAAATGCTGATATCCATGTAAGGAATTATCAATACCTATACACTTAAATATTAACAAGTAACTAAAAATGAAACTTACTAACTAAAATTTATAATAGAAAATTATTATTTTGGCAGAACGTATTAAATACTAGCATTGAATATTTGGAATCAAAATATTCAAACAATTTGAAATTTGATCGTTTGGTTAATGGTTACAAGAGATTTGATCCATCAAGAGGATTAGACTATATTTTAGATTTGACTTTCAAAGATATTGTTGGAAATAAATTAATACAAAAAAGGTATAATATTTATAGTACCTAGTAAAAATGTAGTCATAATTATATCAAACAATTAATTGTTTTTTTTAGTATATAAACTAAAGAAACATGCAATATATTAATTTATACATATTTTTGTTTTTATTAATAATCGATTGATTTTTCAGAGTGGAAGTCA